CACCGCAGCACGGGGTCGTGCGCTCCGTCTTCTCGCCGCGGCAACCCAGGCGCCACGTGAACAAGCGACCGCCGGGGGTGCAGTGTAACAATGGAAGGTAACACGGTCACCCAGACGTGTCCCCGACGAGGATGCGGTGCGATGCACTTTCAACGTGCAATCACTGCTTAGTTAGCTGACTCGGAGCTCAGCCGTCGGACCAGACTTGGCGCGACAATTTCAGCCTCCGATAAATAGCCTGGGGCGCATAATCAACGATCCCATTGACGGAGCGACGAACGCTCAGTTCGCTCCATCCGTCGACACGGAGGAGAGCGGGTGCGACATCCACCTACCGTTGACCTCGAGCGTGACGTCACGGTCCGGGGGCAGCTGGCGCACCAGGCTGTCTACCAGGGACCTGGTCCGGTCTAGGTCAGACCACCCCCACCCCAGTACCGTCAGTGACGGACAGCCGAGCACCAGCCTGCAACAGAGCACAGCACACGTCACACCCACAACACCGGCACACAGCGGAACAAAGGGCGCACCACCCACGTGCTCCGTGGTGCGCCACGCGCCAAATCAACTGTTCGCCAGCGTCAGCAGACGTTAGCCTGCGAGGCTTCCGCCGCCGTAACAGCGGGTGCCGCCCCCTGCAGCCGGCTCTGACTGGACGGATGACGCAGTGGGGAGCCCGGTGTGACGTCAGAGCCCGTCCCGGCCGCAACACCCCGGCCACATGGGGCTTGCACCACGTGACGGCCCTGGGAGCGGGACGCACAAGTGCTGTCTCGCGGTGAGCTCAGCTGCGGAGGAGCAGACTCTACGGCCACCGGTATGGGCCAGCACCGGGTCACACCTACGGGGGGATGGCGACGCGGAGGGGACAGGGCGAGCACACCGCAGGCAGGGGCACAGCCTGGTTCATTAAGGCTGCAGTTCGCTGGCCGTTCAACACCGGCCCGTCTTGGGCCAGGCTTAGACTACTGATCGAGGTCACATATCAGCTGCCTCGGCAGGGCTCGGCTGGGCAGGAAACACGCCGAGAGCTAAACAACAACAACAGGCAGCCTCCCGGGGTGTCCAGGCCACGTGAAACGCCGCCAGTTTGCAATGTTCCTCATCTAATCGCCTTCGTCACGTCCCCCACCGGTGAGCTCACCGTGTGACACCATCTGCTGAACAAGACTGGCACCCGGTCAGGTCCAGCATCCTCAGACGCGGCCCGTGTAGCCGGTCCAGTGTGGCGTCCTCCACAGTCACAGCGGGCAGACAGGCCAGGTCCAGCTGACGCAGCTGCCTGAGCCGCGGCAGGCTGTCCAGCCCAACAGCCGTCACCCCGCGACACGCTGAAACACACAAGAAGCCGGGCCGGGTCCAATGCATCAGCACTGTCACGTGATCGCCAGATGACGTCAGAACATGAACAGCGGCTGAACCGCTGGTGCTGTAAACAACACCGCCTTTCGCAACTCCATGGCGGAGCCACGGCATGCGGGGTCGGGAGCGTGTCCTATTGATATGGAACAGCTGGCTTTAATGCGTCGGTTCAGCTGCACCATCACCGTGTTGCCACTACGGAATACACGGAAACTGCGTGATGTGGAATATGCTCACCGTATATGCTGAGTGAGTGCAGGCCTGGCAGCAGGTCGGGCAGCCGCTTCAGCGTGGAGTCGGTGACTCCATCGGAGCACGTCACGTCCAGGTGTCGGAGGGAGGGGAGGCCGGCCGGCGGCAGGCAGAGCTCCAGCGCCGGCTTCAGCTCCCTCGCCGTCAGCCGCTCCAGCTGTGGACAGCCGGCCAGCACCGCCGCCAGGTCTGCCGCCTGCAGCCCCTCCACACCTGACACGTCCAGCCGCCGCAGCCGAGGACAGCGGGTCAGCTGACGCAGGCAGGCCGACTGTAGATGTAGACAATAGGCCACCGAGAGAGCCTCCAATGACTCGGGGAGCAGCGATAAACACTCTCCCCGCACGTCGCTCCGCGCCACGTCCAGCCGCCGCAGGGACGGCAGGCGGCGAAGCAGCGCCTCCGCGCACCGCTCGGCAGACCCGCGAGGCAGCGTGACGTCCCCCAGCCGGGGACACCTGGAGCACAGCCTCTCCAGAGGCTGTGGGGCCGCGTCGAAGTGGAACAAATCCACCCTTTCCAGGTGTCCTGAGAGCCGGGCTGGAACGACACACGGGTTTCAGTTTGAGACAGCGCTGCGTCCTGCAGCCTTTGCCCTCGCTCCCAGACTCCGTCCGATAACACCGCGACTGAGGCATGCGCCATTCAATGATAACGCTTTAGAGGCGTCTGTCGCACTCACACTGACAAAACACACAAAACACTCACAGACGACGTCAACGGATAACGGCGCCGGCGGTGAGCAGTAATGGTAGGTTGTGAGCCGTCGCAGGGACGGCATGCGGCGTATCAGCCGCCCCACGCGCTCGTCGTTGGCGTGCTTCACGTCGTCTCCGGTAAGGTGGAGGTCGTGGCGGCGCCCCAGGCTGTCGTCCACTGCCTGGCGCCAGCCACGCGACACTGCCGGCACCGACAGAGCACACTGTACAGCGGGCCGCAGCGGCGCAGACGACGTTCATGCGAGACAAAAACATTTCCACCGGTCAGCACACCCAGCCAGTGACAACGTTTGACGCTCAAGCGTGACAGTGAGTTGAAAACACACGTCACCGCCATTTCCCTGTGAGAGTAGGAGATCTTACGCTGGCGGCGGCTGGCGGCCAGGTCGCTGGCAGCTGGTGCTGTCTTGCCTGCTCGGAACACCGGCGCAAACAATCCGCATCAAGCGGTCCCATAGATAAATAACATAACAATTCGACAACTGGAGGGCTTTAAGTCTGGACCATTGCGACGACAAAGCAGTACGTAATGCAAATGTGGCCCGCGAAAATACTACAGCAAATGATCCCACACTGAAGCTGACAACAGCCAACCATGCCACCATTGGGCGTGATCATTACCTTCACGTTGCACGATCTGGAGGGTAACAGGGTAATCTTCGGCATATCTTTTTGCGACTTCTTAAGAAATCATATGTTGGGCTTAATTTTTACACGCCTGAACAACGCGAAATGAACTTGCGTCTGCATTCTAAGCAATACTTTTGCACTATTTATCACGACTTATACAAAATGCAGTCACGTTTAAAGATGACATTTACAACAGATTGCGAGTACAAGCTGAACGCTCTGCCTCTCTCCTTCCCCTTCTCAAACTGCCTCTTATTTCTCTGACATTTGCCAGCACAGTTTTCAACAATACGTCACGCGCTCAACGCTCGCGCTTGCTGTAAGCTTGGTCTTCTTCAGGAGGGAGGCGTGTGGTGGCAAAATATCAAACACGGCTCACACTAACATTACTTTGGGTGGTCTTGAGGGCTTGGTCTTGAGGGGTTAAGAGGGGGGGGGGGGAGGGAATGTGCGGGAGGGGGAGGAACAATTGTCTGGCAACACTGAACAGTCGGCTCCGTGCTGATCGGGACGTGCGGGCCCATTTCCCTTGCAGGAGGAAGTCCGCGGCCCGCGATTTGCATGGGTCGGGGCCCCTGAGTCAATCAAGGCTTTTCACTGTTGGTTCGGGGCCTACAGGGCCTAAAAGTGCGGCTTTTGTCGGCAAAGACCTCTATTCGGCCGCGGGCAGTGTTCGAGGAGCCCATACGGCTCCTAGGGTGTAAGGGCGCGAATGGAGGGCCCGAAGGGCACGAGTGCTTGCTGCAGGTGACATTAAGGATCCCGGCTCCAGTGACAGGGCCCTCGAATGTCAGCCAGTGGGCCTCTTGCACCGATTGTAGACCTCTTGTGACAATGCGGGCGTCTGTTTTAGCCAGAGACCACCAACACAGAACGGTTGGATGCGTGTTAGTCTGGGCCCTGTGGACATATTTTTCAAGCAAGAAAGAGCCCGGGCCCGAGACTGGCGCTGGTAGCAGCCACTGAAATAATAGGGGGTCCTGTGTCAGTCAGTGGCCCACAGTGTCTTCGGTGCCGGCAAGGGGCCTCGAGTCAGTCAGGGGAACGCTTACTGAACATGGACAGGGACGGGACCTCGAATGTCACAGGGCCTATTGCGTTGACACTCTCGGACCAACGTGACCTTCCGTCCGCACGTTGTCCGTCGCCTGACATAAGTCACGGGACAAAACGCAGCGAGGCTTAAGGAGACTGGAACGCCGGGCGTCCGGGTGTTTGACATGCGAAAGCGCATACTCAAAAATATGCTACATAATGTAGGACAATCCGATTCTAAATGACGGTAGACAATACCAATGGAAATGTTTGACCTCGGTACGATGATTACGGGTCCTCCATATCTCTGTGAATCCAGAAAAATACTGACAAAGGACCTGAACGTTAGGCGCCACTCGCGGCTCTTGGTTCAGAAAGAGTCCACTGAACCATTGTAACATGAAAAGTGCCGGTGCTTTATTCTATGTAGTCATTAAATCCTGTTCTCAGTTTACTCACTTCGAAATGCAACGAGAAAGACACCTTGCGGTGGCTTACGTGTTTTTTTTTACATATGGGTGAAGGCAAAAATCAGTTATGCTTTTTAGGGGGAGGACATTTTATAACCAGGGCCCCTATGTCGGCCCTGCACCCTTTCCCCTTACGAAAATTCTGGCTGCGCTCCTGGTCGCCGTGATAGCCACGACTGTCGTGTGCTCATGACTAGATTAGAGGGTCCGGTGGACATATCTACGGCCCATGTGCTTTGACATAAACAGCACTGGCAGTGGAGGTCATCTTGGATATAAAGGGAGAGGTTGGAGAGGCTGTGGCTGGTTGGGTGGGATTGGGTGCTAGTGACGTACACTCCTGTTCCCCGCATCTCGTGAATCGCCCGCTCAGGACTCTCGAATTACCAAGGTAAGCTTCCCGGGAATCGATGCTGTTTTCTGTGTATGCTAATTGTTCTTACAAATTCATGTTGCCTAATGTTTCAGTAAAGTGCCAACACACGACAACAGCAAAGAGAATCAACATCACATCCATGGCACTACATCAAGTCATGTGTCTTACAGTTGACGAAGTAGTCGATAGCCGGCTAACCAGTCTACAAACCGCCATGACCGATAACATAGGCAGGCATCGTACGTAAGGAAGAGCCAGGAGGATCTACAATGCCAAAACCAGCCAAGCCATAGTTTCTCACGCAAAGCTGTTCATCGCGGCTGAAGAGAAACGCTTCCAGTATGACCCTTGATCTTTCGAAGCTCACAAGGCTCATCGCAATAATCGTAATCCATGAGGCTCGTGGCCAAGGTTCTGCCAGCTCTTGGTAGAGCGTCGATTTCATGGGAGTGATCTGTGACTGGTCAGGCACGACAACTTAAAATGCCTTGCAGTTTTGATCATAATGGTGCGAGATGTCCCTATTCCCTTTGTGTTGTAGGAGTATGCAACCGTGACATTAGCAAGCCGTCGCAATTATTGCATCACATTGAGACAGGTACATCAATGCATCATTTTTTATGGTCCGTGTTTGGTGTGCTGCCAGGAGAGCTAATGTTGACCGTTCGCCAAAAGGGAGGGGGAGGAGCGCAGTTGGCCACAGCAATAAATTAGGCATTTATCAAAATAAGGCGGGATCAGTCAGCTGAGAAACAAAACTTCAGGTAGGAATTAGGTTATTGGGCCATCAGCCCCCTCCCCTAGTCACTTAGAAAGTTTGACGCCCCTGGGAGCTCAAGATAAGTGAGACTGTCAGTGAAATCAGGTCATTTGATCAGAACTTAGCGCGAGTGGAAGAGTCTGCAATGTGCGTGCGAGGATATCATGGCAACCATGGGTGTAACCCCTGACAGGTGGGCAGGGGTGGGAGAGAGACAGCACTCAGCTATACGGACCTAGCACCCAGGGGCCGATCCAGAGGAGGGGGGGGCAGGGGGCCACATCCCCCCCCTTGGGCCCCGAAGGGGCCCCATGGCCGGCCGAACAGGTGCAGTTTTTGAAATACAAAGCGCAACACAGCTGGGTATCCCTTGACTTCCAGGCGACCAAGAACAATTGTGAGCAAAAGTGCAGGGGCTATGAGAAGTTGAATAAATCATTCAATGATTGGAAAAGTTGCTAACTGGAAATTTTAAGCCTTATTACATTGTCTAGAGGCCCCATGCTGTTTGCGGGGCTTAAACGCCCACTTACACGATCATCCCGATCGTTAAGGAGCGTTCCACGTCGCCCTTTATCTCTTTGCATTTGCTCGGAGGGCCCTGCGCTGTTGTTGGAGCCCTTCCTCTTAGCGTGCCTGGGCACTCTTGTCAATCATTGGCCCGTACACGGATTCTTTCCATTCGCCAGAAAGGCTCCTAGGCACTTCTTTTCTGAATGGGAGGGGGGAGGGGCTACGCTCTTGTGGGGTCTATTTGATAGCCTGTTCGGGCACATTCGATCGTCGGGGCCCCTCTACGTTGGGCCTTGGGCACGTGCTATTTGAATTCGGCCCTACGCACTTGTCGGGCGCCCCTTCTGTTTGCCACCTCGGCCATGTTGGATTGCCCGGGGGGCCCCGCACATTGTTTCTTGGTGTTTGAATTTAGTGCCCTCTTCTCCTATCGGGTCATCTGATAACCTGTTCGGCTAGACTCCATCTTTGGGGAGCCGTCCGCACCGGGTTTTGGGTACTTCTTATTCGAATGGAGGACCTTACGCTCCTGTCGGAACCCCTTCTTATAAGATCATCGGGCCCATTCGATAATGGGGGACCTCTACATCTGGTTTTGGATACTTCCTTTTAAACGGAGGGCCCTCTGCCCTTTTCGGGGCCCCATCTATCAACCTACCCTGGTGCAGTCGATTATTCGGGGCCCTCTACATCGTGTTGTGAGTATTTCATATTCGATGTTAACCTGCTCTGACGCACTGGATCGTTCGGAGATCCTCTGCATTAGATCCTGAATACTTACTATTTGAATGGAGGGTCGTACGCTCTTTTTGGGAATCTTATCTGTTAACCTGTTCTGGCACACTCGATCATTCAGAAGCCCTCTACATCGGGTCTTGAGTACTTCCGTTTTGAATGGAGAGCCCTACGCTCTTGACGGGGGCCCGATATGTTAACCTGCGTGGGCGCGCTCGACCGTTCAGAGCCGTCCTTTTTGCGTCTTGAATATCTCTTATTTGAATGGATGGCCCCATGTTCTTGGCGAGTCACAACCAGTCAGCTGCTCGGGCCGGGGGCCGATGCAGAAGGTCGGGGGGGGGGGGGGGAGGCACGGGACCATGCCCCATGGACCATGCCGAGGGTGACCTAAATGCTCCGAAGGAGCCCATAACCGGCCGGACGGACGCAGTTTTCTTACAACAAAAACACAACAAAATTGGATGTCTTTGGGGCTACGGGCGACCAAGAACCATGGTTAGCAAGACTAAAGAGTTCATAAGCAAGCAAAGTTTATTCTTCGCTGATTGAGAAAGTGTTGCTTGGGAGAAATTTAGGACCTCATTGCGCTATCTAGAGGCATCACGCTGTTGGTTGCCTGGCCCTATACGTCCACTTGCCTGGCCAATCTGATCGCAAAGGAGCTTTCCACACTGCCCTTGATCTTTTTGCATTTTCTCATTAGGGCCCAATGTGCTATTGGGACGCTATCTGATCCTGAGCCTGAGCCTGAGCACTGTCAATCGATCAGGTTATCCCCATTCACCCGAAAGGCTCCATACACTTTTTCCGGGGGCCCCATATGCCAGGGCACACTCTCAGGGGCCCGTCATATAAGTCTCGGATTCTTTCTACTTGCTTGGAGGACCTTGTACTGTTGCTAGGGCTCTTATAAGGAAAGGCACGGAGACACTCGATGCTCAGGGGCCCTCTACTTTGATCAAGAGCTCTCTCCCTTTGCTCTCATTTGCAAAAGACTCTTCATGCCTATCGAGGCTCGTGCTGTTAACCTGCCCGTGCACGCTTGATCGCACCGGGGTATTAATTTATGGTCTTGGATAATTCCCATTTGCTGAGAGGGTCGTGTGCTATGGCCGGGGCCTTATATATCAGCCTGCCGAAGCACTACCAATCGCTTAGGGGCCCACCACGCTGGTGTTGGGTTCTTTTTGCTTGCTCTGAAAACCCTACACCCTTTGACGGGAGCCACTTGGTTGGCCTGCTGCGACACCCATGATCGCTCATGTTCCGTCCCTATTGGCCTTGATGCCTTCGTCTGAGAGCAGCAGTCGAATATGCGCCGATGAATTTTTACGCGCTATTGCCGCACGTAGACATGCGCAGACGTCGTATGTGTCATTTCAATTGGCTATTGAGTGCGTGACACTCATTATACTAGTGCATCACGTTCGTAAAATATTTTGAACGCAAGGTTATGTTGTGCTACTTAATAACAAAGGAAATATTCTGCATTAGTCATCAGCCATCAGCTGATAACATCGCACAGCCGGCTAGTCGTAAATGCATAAGCCAGCAATCAAGTCCATGCTTGGTTTAAATGGTTGCTAGCAGCCAACACAAGTTTGTTTTCCTGTTGCTCCCAAACACTTAGCCTCAAAAATACAGCATTTAAAATGACCTGTAGAATATGAGCGAGCTTTATGTGTGTGAATGCGAGCATGCCTAGCTTTATAAGGTTGTGCAGAGTAAGATGGGTTTCCGTATTTATTAGATAAATGAAAAAGTAAATACATACATATATACGACGTAGCACTAGCCTTGAAAGGTGACAACCGGAAGGCAATTTTTTTTTGGAGGGGGACCACAAACTTTAGGGTGTCACGATGTTGCGTGCCCCCCTTAACGAAATCCTGGATCCGTCTCTGCTTGCACCAGTGGACGGACCCGACGCTTCGAAACACTAATTAACGTCGACATCTATCGCATACTGCTATCACCGCTGGTGGCCATTGCGACGATCAGATGTCGCTACAAATACAATACGTGCCTGACTTGGAGCCAATGGAGAGGCTGAGGGTCCATTGCCCGACAGATCGAAATGATAGCGTGAAAAGGTCAGTTTTAGATTTTCCAGCGGTCAAATATTTATGTCTGTGCGTACTGCACATGATGATGTTGCGTGATCTCAGTAATGATCGTTCCAGGTTTATTTTGGCATGTGTCCTGGCGGTGTTTTATGCATGGCTTGAATGGAATGTTCCACATTTAAGATATTGAAATAAGCATCAAATATGACGGGAAAAGCTTACATGTAACTATTGGTAAGCGTTCAAGCTTCGAAACCCACCCTATGTAGCAAAATTTCAAAGTTGGTAAAAATGCACCCCATTACGGCATTGTTTGATGGCGCCATGGAATGGTTTTGTGACGACAGCAATACCTGACAGCATCTGGCAGCCAGACGCTTGAAAGGCACGAGCATACATTTCTAAGTAAATGATCACATATCATGAGCATATGAAAGCACTTCAAGGTGATAGTAATTGCATCACAGTCTTTGACAACCTGACACCAGGGCTGAACATTGTGTGCTCAAGCGTATTCAAGCAAATTGCATGCAGAAATCATGGCTGAATCTTTCTTAACTAAGCTATTTTAACAACACGCAAACACAACTGACTAAAATGTTTGCAGTTGAAGTTCAGGTGTCAACGCCACACAATGACCCGTCGCATGTGTTACCTACCTCCGCGGATCGTCAACAACTGTGACGGCCTGAGGTATTGTAGGATGAGGTCCTGCGTCTTCGTCGGCAGCTGTTCAAAGTTAGTACATGGCGTTGCCTGGAAACGTTTCATGCAGTCAACTTGAGAAGCCCACACCAAATCAGTAATTCGAATCATCAGCACGGTCCAGTTAATGCAACACCTATACGACGATGGCAGTTTCCTTACATCAGCATTGCCATTGATACATTTTCAGCAGGATCGCTGCCGACGGTGGCCCACGACACCCACAACGCATGATGTTGGTTTTCACTCTGACTTTGAGCAGCGCAGTGCATTTTTGAGTCGAATAGGATTCGACTCAACCAGGTATGGATCAAAAACGGAATTGATTCCGATGGTTGGATTCCGATGTAACGTATAGGGAATAATCAGCTCTTGAAAAATGACCTTCATAACATGGTAAACAGTGCACGTGTTTCAACAAAAACACGGCTATCTATACTTGCGGCTCATTTGGTGCGAATTTAAAGGGAGTGTTCCACATTTGCAGGGGGGTTTGAGCTGAAATAGCCAAATTGTAGATCACTTGGTGAAGTTCATAACCCTGACCTCGTTAAGACCTAAAACCCTCTAATTTCAGAGCTCCACGCCCGCGAAGATGTGCAGACTATTTCAAGGTCATTCAGGCATGCATGACGCCGTGGGAACGTCATTCAAATCCTGGCACCCCACAGGCCAGGCGGCGTTCAAGGCCAGGAAGAATATTATCACCCAGCCGTTCACATCTGGCGTTCGTGAGTGCGAATTCCAAATGACTCAAAAATCAAGGGGCTCGTCAACAATGCGAGTACGCAGTGGTAAGCTTTAGCGATGAAACGCGTTTTGTGCTGCATAATATAAGAAGTCCGACACAACTTTTTCACTTGGTAGCTAGCACAGAATATACGACTTGTAATCGAGTAACTTAAGAATAACGATACAATCCAGTGTGTAGATACAAGTAAACGAATAATGTCACAACTGAGTGACTGAATACAGGCAAGCATTTTGAATCCGCGAATAAACAAACAAGAGCATCAGGACAGAGGGCCAAGATATGAACATGTGACAATATTTGGCTCAGCAAACACTTCCAGCCCGTGCTGCTATCCCTCGACGAGGAAGTACTACAAATAAGTGAAATTTTCGCACGGCTAGTTTGACAATATCTCAACGTCATGCAAACGCCACATGGCACAATCGAACAATGACACACAATCGAACATATTTACTGAAAATGGAACTCGTGTTGTCTACAGCAACCTTTTTCTCTCAAAAGTACACCAATAGTTATAAGTGAGTATACCTCATCATATGCGACGCTTGCTTTAACATCTTCAACTGCGGAACATTCTCTTTCAGCTCCCTAACCATTCAGACATCTCTGTGCCAACATTATCATGCAAACTGAACAACCAATTTGTTGACTTGACTTAGACCTGAAACTGCGGTTCGTTGACTCAAATCCAGTCCGAGTTTCAGTGAAATTACAAAGGTAAAACGAATTTCCTCAACTCAACGGAAAGATGGCCGACGCGGCAATCGATTCCGAGTCCACCTATCATGAAGTCCAGGTGCTCGTAATGTCATGCAAATTCATTGTAATGGTAGCAAAATGTCGGCTACAAAGCGATTTCGCCGCGGCCTACTTGGATACTTTTGTCTTCTTCCTGGCTCCTCACGTGCTAGAAGTCAGTCTCTGCATAATTTGTGTCACATTCTTGGGACGTCCCATGTCTCCCATGCAATGATGCAAACCTGTCACAGTATTCAAATTGGTTTTCAACATCACTGGCGGGTGATTTGACGCTTTCACCTTATGTGTCATGATTTTAGGTCAGTGCAACAGCAACTGAGAAGCAGCCAAAGTCATCATTTTCTTGAGGAGAGAGGCACGTGTCAAATGTGCCCCTAACTCCTGAGAAGTTTGTCCTGCACGCTCGCCCAGTAGCTTTCATTAATATCTTGGCTCAAAGAAGCCATACCCATGTGACCCCGCCCTCGCGTTCCGTGCGCAAAGTTGGCCGACATTCGCAAGTCGTTTTTTTACGAAGGTTTATGAAAGTAGGCCCAGATCATGTCATTGAACTGAAAAACCATCACACAAATGACTACGAGCACACTTATGCCGATGAGCATTTCTGAACTTGCACGACATTATACTGGACTTCCACAGCAGAGAGCTATTCTCTCAGCGTACCAGAACACGTCCTCATTAAACTTCCTGCTTGCGTGCAAAGCAGTTGGTTCTGTCAGCTAACAACTGATGTTTTAAAGAATCTAGGTTTATCTTCGGCGACGTCGCGCAGATCTATCGGCCAATATTCACTGATCTCTTGTGACCTCACTCCGACCCGTGACCTCGTGCCTACCTGGTGCCGTCTGCTTTCGGCCCGCTCCAGCAGAGCTCTGCTCTCCTCTAGCTGGACGCTAAGAGCGTTCCTGGCCCGCTCTGAGGCGTCCAACTGCGCCTGGAGCTCGGTCTTCAGCCGGACCTCCTCCTCCAGGCGCGCCGTTGTTTCGCCGATCTCGGCCTGGTAGCGCCGGACCGCCTCCTGTTTTCCGGCAACAGTTATTGCAGGTAATGACGTTGGAAGGTGCGTTTCATTTATTTTTTATTGTAACTTTTAAGACTCAACCTAAAACAATCGTTGCCTGGCATGCCAACGAAGGCGTTATCAGCAATGGGGACGCTTAGCGTAAAGCCTCTTCATGCTTTGGGAATGCACTTTACAAGCAAATGCCGAGCCCACAGAACTAATCATATGAGGCGAAACGCAGATTTATTGGTTCTCAGCCAGCAGAGCCCTTAAACTGAGTTCAAAGGTCTGATTCGGCTTCAGCTTACAGCTGTAAAAGTACGGCATATGATGAGCAGTATAGCAAACAGTAGTAGCCCGTGGCGACTGCTCAGTTGGTTTGAGCGCCGGTGTTTCGACTCACTGACCCATGGTGGGGTGGGGTCGTGTCGCTTTATACGCTCGCTATTTGTCACTGACTTGGATTGCCTTCGGCGTGTGAAAGCAGCCGCACAAGAGGCCTCAGGACGGAACGTACGCAGTGTTGTGGCACGTTGAGCTTTGTCACCAAATTCTGTCATTGACCGCAAATTTCTGCATCGGATGGCGAGATCATGGCTACACGCGTTGCTGAGCATAGGTTCTGATCCCAGAATTACGTTCATTGAAAAGGTTCGGACATAAAGAAATGAAAAATTGCATTTTCATTCACTGACAACGGCAGCACTGATGGTGCGACCACGCGCTGTGTCAACAGGGTAAGCTTACCCAGTTGGTGCTCTCCGAGTTTGGCCGAGTTGTGATCTCGGATGTATGATCACTGGTCGTCACTTCATCATCTGAGTTGGACGCCTCCATAGTGCGGCAAATGGCAACGGCGCTGCTGAAACTTAGATTCTTCTCAGACAACAGTCTTCTTTGCATTTGATCATCTGCTATTCCGAAGATGAGCTGTTCCAGCAGCCTGTCCCCGAGGGTATCTCCAAAACAGCAGTCGTTGGCATTTTGGCGGAGAACAGCAGCGTAGTCAGCGACTTGTTGGCCAGCGCGACGGACACACGAGCCGAACTTGCGCCGGCTGATGGTGACTGAAAGGTCAGAATCCTCCTGACCTTGCATAACCAGAAGCAACTCTGCAAGAGGTACGTCCATCGGCTTCCGAGGTGCAATCAAACTGCGAAGAAAAGCGTATGCCTTTCTGCCGCATGCCGCCAGAAATGTGACTTTTTTCTGCTCCTCGTCAGTGATGCCGCTGTAATCGAAGAACAGCTCTAGGCGCTCCTCCCACTCTGCCCACGAGCTCGAGTCAGGGTCGAATGGCTCGATGTGTTGATGCAGCGGTGTCACATCTGATGAAGCATCCATGTTAAGAATTCTGAAACGGAAGAAAATCGTGTTCATTGCGGACAAAATACAGAGCACGGTGCTCACGTGCAACACAACATGACAGAAGCTTGAAGGGGAGGCAGATGTGGCTACAGGCAGTTCCATCCAAGTCTATTTGCCAACCATCATCGACGGCAAGCACCATAGTCGTGGGGTTGGGGGCATACTTGAGGAACATTTCCTCGGAGGCAAGCACGGCGGCCGGAGCGGAATACTGCTATGGTAGATATGCATCTACCGGTGTTTCCTACTGGTGCATAATTGTACCTATTCGACTCATCTATATCTTCTGGCAAATAAGACCACCCAGCCCCCAAAGATTAGCCATTCGTTTCAACATTGTTTCCCCCGGGCAGGTGAAATTTCACGAGCTGGTAGGCATTCTAGGTCACTGGGAAGGCACCTGCCTCCAAAGTTTAGATGCATCAATACTGCCTTGGCACAGCATCGTCAGAAATTTCGAATTCTTAAACTGACCCATGATGCGTTGCAGTTTTCGTGCGCCTGGATTTTATCGACTGCTCTTCAACAGACAAGTGTTTGCTGCAGATTTTTAAGCAACAATAAATTCGGAAGCTTAAAATAGTATCTGCCAAAGCCAGTTGACAAAAGCCTTATCATATGACTGCTTTATGTCAAGTTTATGGACAAGCATCACTGATAATTAGTGTGTGAGGCCGATGAGCTGTCTGCTACGGTTCCTCTTCGCGAAATCATACCTTACACCACACAACAGCAGCAAATGTACTTCCGGCAAACTGTCTGTCGTTGGCATGAATTGGTCCAACGGGCATTCATTTTACCCTCTTCCAACGTAGTCGACTTCATCTGTTTTTGTACGTAGGACGACCATACGCACGTTTGTTAAACAGGTTCCGTGCCTATATCTGCCGTAGGCGTTTAGCGTAAGCTGGTATTTTATGCACAAAGCTGGCGTTTCACATATTGTCGACTATTTATGCCACTTCTGTGAAACATCATCCTTGCGCGATCTGACTGAAATCTCAGGCGCTGTATGAAATGCCCACCAGGCTGCGGGCACTTTATTTGCCCCATTTGCCTGAGGAATATACAATACCTTTCTATATTTCATGAAACATCCTAAATAAAGGCTGACTCACCCGTGCGCAGAATGCGTTGAATTATCATTTCGTGTTTGATGTTGAATGAGATGATCAATGCTGTAAAGTTTATGGTTGATTTAACGAGTTTAGGCTGTTTTTCTAGACATTTCCACAGGCTATGTTAATTTAGTCACGCTGACCACTGTCTCCGTTCAAATGCGTTCAATAGCTGTCCATGTGTCTTACTGTAGAGACTTAAAGGCGCAACAACATAAACAGAAAGAAAACTTGTCGTCACTTCTTCAGGCTTCATTAACGAACTTGTTATATCCTTTCGTTGCCTTAAAAAGCGATGAGCCGGCGAGCCTCGGCCAGTCTTTTGCGTTGAGGAGCAGGACGCCTAAGGCAGTGCGTGAAACCGACTGTAAATCCCAATATCAAAATAATCTCGATTATTTTTGGTCCTTGCTACCTTCTAAACGTCACATAACGTCACTCACCTGACATGAAAACTAGTCATCTTTTCCCGTCACAGGTATTCGGGTTAAAGCTGGTTGCGTCAGGAGGTCTGATGGCATCTTGTACATCAATCTGGAGTTTGACCTTGCTTGACCTTATCGAACCCAAACGACATGATCAAGCTCAAAATTGGATGCGAATGAAACCACACATAACCCTACTTGCTCTCTTAGTTTTTGTCACTAGCTCTCTGAGTTTTCGGGCCTCAGGGGGAAGGGGGGAGGGGGCATTGATACCCACCCTACCTGATCGCCCCGCTTTTAAACGGCCACCCGGGTGCGTTTTAAAGCTCCTTGGAGGGCGGGTGACTGATGAGATCTTATTCTAAGAAATCAGCGTTCAGAGCGGTTTCAACAAACAAGCAAGCAACGGCCGGCATGTGTGACTGAAAAGCCGATGGCGAGCATAAAGCAACTGAATCTTGTAAAGCGAGCACGATGTCACCAGACACATCTCGCAATGTCCGTGACAGAGCATCTCGTCCCAGACGGTGTCAACGCTCGTGTGCAGGGGAAGTGGGGAATCAGACCCGAATGCGAAATTATGTGAAGTTAATGTAGTGCCGCTGTATCCGCAGCACTGCACTCCAGTGGCGCCTGTTCATCTCACCAATGTATGTACACGCTAAAGGCTTTACTGTACACGTATTTTACAGGGCCCGACACTGGCTGAAATTATCATTAGAAGCACACTAGATACTAACTAAGAGGCGCCGTTGCTATTTGGCGATACTCGCCATAAATATCAGCCAATTAAAGCGAGCCCCACTCTACACGGGAGGGGCTAGCTGCCCACCTATGTCGGATCCAGTGTGATATGCTTGATATTATTTTTATTCTAACACATCATGTGAGCGAATCCCAACCGTTGGAAATGTCAAGAACATTGCGCTTCTTAGTGACCTTCAATTACTGCTACTTTTGCAAAGGATCATACATCACGCCCAACAAACACTGTGAGTGCCGCTGCTTCTGAAGATGAACTTTGAACTTGTTCATGATGAAATATCAGCTAACGTCACCATAACACTCGCCATTAGTTCCACGCCTGTCACTCACTGAGTGCGCCGCTACAATATCGTGCAGTTAAATGGAGTTTTCCACATTTGTTTGCGAGTTTGAACCGAAATAGCCGTCTTGAAGACCAATCGGTGCAGTTCACAGCCATGTGCGTCTTAAAATTTGAATCCCTCTAGTTTTTTAGCTATACGCCCGCGGAGACGTGTGTACTTTTCGAGATTATTTCAAGGTCACCCAGGCATCCATGACGCCATGATAACTTTATTGTAACTCACTCATTCATTCAAGCCATTCATTCAGTGGCTCCATTGGCCTTGCTCGCCACATGCTCCGCGTTCGTGAGCATGATTTCCAGGTAAGACGACCGTCAATTGGCTTTTAATGAATGTCGTGCATGGCAGGATGACGCGATCAGACAACGACGCATTGAGAAGCATCTTTATCAAATGGAGAAAATGTGTTGTGTAGGGCAGTGTTTTTCACTTAAAAGTATACCAATGGTTATAGGTGACGTTATTTCATCATATCTGATGTCAGCTGTTATATCTTCAAATGTGAAACATTCCCTTTAACATGGCATGCATGGCCTGGAACGGGCCGACGGCTCTCACATGGGAAACGTACACCGGTCTGAACACCAAAACCAAAGGCCATTCACCACGGCATTACCCACCCAAGTTGTACAAGCGCTTTCAATGTACGTGGTTATGATATCATTTACGGCAGAAACTATTGGAATCACCATCATAGCCTTCTTAAACTTAACATTTCACATGAAACACCTTGCAGTTTTGCATTTTCTTATAGCGGTACGTGCTGCAAAAGATATCATCAGTATTTATTTAGGTTTTGGGTTAGGGAAAACGTTTGATAAATAATCAAAAGTCTCCTACTCTGTTTTTTTACTGCTGATATTTATTTCCTAGGATATTATGCCCGCAGCCGCTTGGTAAGAGGGGTATGAACTAGGTGCCCCTCCCCTTGAATACGACACCGCGCAGAATGATCCCGGTGAGGAGGCCCTATTTTGTCCAGAAGGCCCCCTGAAAAATCTTGCTTCCCCCCACAAACCCCGTGGCTTCGCTCCTGTTGGTAGGTGCGCATATATACTCACCAGTCAGGCGGAATTATATGATAAGCATGAGTATGTATTTTGCTAGTTGACATTCAGCAAAGTCGTTAAAGATCAATCGACGTTCAAAGTGAAGCTGCTGATGATGTTTTCTTCCGAACAAGTCGGACTTCTCAGGCCTAACAAAGTCACTCCAATCTGATTCGATATGCTACAGCGAACGCTTATCACATGACGGTCTGTATGAATCAATCAGTGCCAGTAAATTTTAAAATAAAACGAAGGCTAAAATATCTGTGGTCACTAAATGCCGTTGAATAACGCCACCGCAACCCAGAATCCCACAAGCACAGGCCGCCAGCAGACAGACGGTCTGTTGGCAATGCTCACCTTGGTAGCGCGGCTTGGTGGGCAGTTGTGTTGCCTGGCTCGGTGACTGTGCTGCTTGGTTCGGTGGCTGTGCTGTCTGGCTCGGTCGGTAACTGTGCTGCCTGGCTCAGTCGATGACTGCTGCCTGGCTCGGTGACTGTGCTGTCTGGCTCGGTCGGTGACTGCTGCCTGGCTCGGTGACAGTGCTGCCTGGCTCGGTCGGTGACTGTGCTGCGTGCCGCGGTTCCTTACTGTACTGCGGCGGTGCGGTGGTCGGTGCTCTCTGCGCGGTGGTCCCTATCGAACTGCTCAAGACGTACCGTGCACCCCCAGTTAAAAGCAGCCGGTATATCGCAGCGGCGTCTCAAGAGGCCGATAACATCGCGGCGCCACGGGAGCCTCAGCAGGGGGTCTGGCAGGCGGACGGAA